ATACAAGGCAAGGATCTGCCATGTGGGGGAAAGAGTATCAACAAAAAAAATTTATCCCAGTTGCTGTCTATGGACACACAACTTCTGATGGGCTGTTTCTTTAATAGGTTTTGCTGAACACTGTTTTTTTTTTTTCATGAACCAAAACATCTTGATAAGAACACAGAGTCACAGTCTTAGAAACAAAAGAATATATTTAGGGCTTAGTTTTTAGGGACATTTTCTGACACTGGAAAATGTTAAAATCTTTCCTGAGAGATGAAACTTTGGGGAAGGTGACAGAGCTTCCCTGTTGTGCTGTATGTGGCAGGAGGAAGAGTGGTTGAAAAACTGTGGCATCTCTGAAGGTGCCCTGGTCAACAGGTGCAAAATAACTTGAAGTGGCCTCTATTCGGATGAGGCAGGAGTTCCTTTTATTAGTTATTGTCATAAAACTCTTAATTGACTTAAGACCTGGTGGATCTTTAAAAGCCATTATCACAGACACACACAAATAGACCCCATGTTTTCATTATTGAAGTTACTGGAATCTGTGCTGAGGAGGAACTGGAATGGTCTGGGCTGGGAAGGTGGTCCTTAGGACTGGATGTCCAGACAACACTTCTGCTATTTGCCTCTACCCGTCGGCCCTCCAAAGCTGCCCTTTTGATGAATTGTCAATTCCCTCCTCCTGGTCCCCTTTCTCACTTCTGGGGTACAAAAGAAAACCAAAATCCTTGTCAGTTTTCAGGCAAATCAGTCTCTGGGTTTTATTCCAGATTACTTTTAGAGAGATAAACGCCATCTGTTTTCTTAGCCTTACTTCTCCAACAATGCTCTCTCTGGACCACAGGTGGCACTGCTCAGTCAAATTCCAGCCTTGTCGCAGGATTTTCCACATTTTCAACTTTACTGACTGAAAGAAGCAGAGGCCACTTCAATCATCTAAACCTTGGTTCCAGTAGTTTATGCTCTTACCTCCTGCGTTCAAGGAGATCGACTTAAACAGATGTATGTTTAGTAACCAAGGCTTATAAGTAAAGACTGCTGTGTTTGATTCATTGGCACCTATGAATTCTTGGCTAAGTGTCCTTTATTTAAAAACAGCTTTTATAGTAAGAATATGGTTGGTTATGTGGTTTTTCTTGAAAATTATGGTAATTTTTAAAAAGCTTCTTAAGTTCTGAGTTAAAGCTTTTACATTCTAACTCAATCTCGGGGCTAATTGGCTGAAAACCTCTGTGCATCATTGATGCAATTTTATCCTCTCAGAGAGCTGTGCAGCTCCCTCCAAAGCAAGTTCTCCTCCAGGCCAGCAAACCAAATGCAGGAGATAGATAGGATTAAGGGCTCCAAAGAGGATTCCCCAGCCCTCTCCCAACAGAGGATCAAAAATTCTGGTCTAGTTCTGGAACAGAAATACAGTCCAGCAAAGGAGAAAGTGCCTGTTTAAATAGCATGTGTCCCTTCCCTTCCCAAAGCTTGTGCCCCTCCCAGGCTGACTCGAGGATGCGATTTTCAATAGACAAATATGCACAGTGGACCCAGGCTGGGGGGGGGGGGGCAGGTTCCCTTGTCTGAATTCCTAAGCAGAGTCAGACCTTTCGGGGGGTAGGGGGGCGGAAAGAAGTCACGACTCCAGACCTCTTCTATCTGCTTTTTGTGGCTATGTGCCAAGAAGCAAAATCGTTCGTCAAAGAGAAAGCACTTTGCACGAACTTCTATTTGCACATGCTCCTAAATTTAGGCCCCAAATGATGAAGGTAATAAAAACTGCTTACATCTTCTTGCGTTGCTTGTCCAGGAAACAAAACCACCAGCCACACACAGCAAAACAGCTCCCCTCTCCTTTATTTCACTTAACCCCCTTTTTAAACTGCCCCACGCAGAGATTGGGAATCGCTGACGGGTGGGGGCTGCAAGCTCGATTCAGTGTAAATACACCCCAGCAGCTCGGGAAACCCGGAGGAATCTGGGGACTGACACTGTGGGCGATTGTCTATTAATAGGGGATAAAACACTGCATACATTAGCGCTAATGCCCTGGTGGCCCCTGCAAAATTAACTCCTCCTAGGCCAGCAAGAGGAAACCAGGTTTTGTCCAGGCAGATGTGTGCTTGAAACGCGCGTGTATATATATGCACCTAGGGATTTCGAACCGCTCCCCTTAAACATGCCAGATCCCCCTCCCATTCCAAGTCTTGGCGGTTGGGTTCCTCCCAGAAGGGGTGTCCCGGGTGGCAATGGTGGTGGCGGGATCCGTCAGGTGTCGGTCAGCTCAGCTTCGCCACGCAGACGGCCAGGGCCACAGCTGCCAGCAGCACGGCGCTGAAAACGGTGGCGGCCAGAGCCTTGCTCAGGTCACAGGGCCGCGCACGCTCCTCCGTGGACACGCCGCGCGCCGAGGAGGCGCCGGCGCTGCCACTGGACATGAGTTCGGCTCCTGCAACCTGCCGGGCTTGCACAGTCCAGCGGGGCACGTTGACCTTCATCTCCATGTCGTGAATCATCTCCTCCAAGCTCAAGGAGAAAGTGATTTTATTTGCATCACATAACAAAAGTTCTTTTAGGCAATTTCATAACTCAAAATAATACCAAATATTTCTAGTGTCTAGAATTTTCAAACTCAAAGGGTCATCTAGGTTAATAGTTTCACAGGATAAATGTTTATTCTAATTCAGCTTTTTTCTTGTGTTTGCAACATTTTACCACTAATTTCAGTGAGCAGAGGATTCTCAAAATCAAGTACACAGCTGATTGCACAGAAATTAAATACAAGGCAAGGATCTGCCATGTGGGGGAAAGAGTATCAACAAAAAAAATTTATCCCAGTTGCTGTCTATGGACACACAACTTCTGATGGGCTGTTTCTTTAATAGGTTTTGCTGAACACTGTTTTTTTTTTTTCATGAACCAAAACATCTTGATAAGAACACAGAGTCACAGTCTTAGAAACAAAAGAATATATTTAGGGCTTAGTTTTTAGGGACATTTTCTGACACTGGAAAATGTTAAAATCTTTCCTGAGAGATGAAACTTTGGGGAAGGTGACAGAGCTTCCCTGTTGTGCTGTATGTGGCAGGAGGAAGAGTGGTTGAAAAACTGTGGCATCTCTGAAGGTGCCCTGGTCAACAGGTGCAAAATAACTTGAAGTGGCCTCTATTCGGATGAGGCAGAAGGAGTTCCTTTTATTAGTTATTGTCATAAAACTCTTAATTGACTTAAGACCTGGTGGATCTTTAAAAGCCATTATCACAGACACACACAAATAGACCCCATGTTTTCATTATTGAAGTTACTGGAATCTGTGTGCTGAGGAGGAACTGGAATGGTCTGGGCTGGGAAGGTGGTCCTTAGGACTGGATGTCCAGACAACACTTCTGCTATTTGCCTCTACCCGTCGGCCCTCCAAAGCTGCCCTTTTGATGAATTGTCAATTCCCTCCTCCTGGTCCCCTTTCTCACTTCTGGGGTACAAAAGAAAACCAAAATCCTTGTCAGTTTTCAGGCAAATCAGTCTCTGGGTTTTATTCCAGATTACTTTTAGAGAGATAAACGCCATCTGTTTTCTTAGCCTTACTTCTCCAACAATGCTCTCTCTGGACCACAGGTGGCACTGCTCAGTCAAATTCCAGCCTTGTCGCAGGATTTTCCACATTTTCAACTTTACTGACTGAAAGAAGCAGAGGCCACTTCAATCATCTAAACCTTGGTTCCAGTAGTTTATGCTCTTACCTCCTGCGTTCAAGGAGATCGACTTAAACAGATGTATGTTTAGTAACCAAGGCTTATAAGTAAAGACTGCTGTGTTTGATTCATTGGCACCTATGAATTCTTGGCTAAGTGTCCTTTATTTAAATACAGCTTTTATAGTAAGAATATGGTTGGTTATGTGGTTTTTCTTGAAAATTATGGTAATTTTTAAAAAGCTTCTTAAGTTCTGAGTTAAAGCTTTTACATTCTAACTCAATCTCGGGGCTAATTGGCTGAAAACCTCTGTGCATCATTGATGCAATTTTATCCTCTCAGAGAGCTGTGCAGCTCCCTCCAAAGCAAGTTCTCCTCCAGGCCAGCAAACCAGATGCAGGAGATAGATAGGATTAAGGGCTCCAAAGAGGATTCCCCAGCCCTCTCCCAACAGAGGATCAAAAATTCTGGTCTAGTTCTGGAACAGAAATACAGTCCAGCAAAGGAGAAAGTGCCTGTTTAAATAGCATGTGTCCCTTCCCTTCCCAAAGCTTGTGCCCCTCCCAGGCTGACTCGAGAATGCGATTTTCAATAGACAAATATGCACAGTGGACCCAGGCTGGGGGTGGGGGAGCAGGTTCCCTTGTCTGAATTCCAAAGCAGAGTCAGACCTTTCGGGGGGTAGGGGGGCGGAAAGAAGTCACGACTCCAGACCTCTTCTATCTGCTTTTTGTGGCTATGTGCCAAGAAGCAAAATCGTTCGTCAAAGAGAAAGCACTTTGCACGAACTTCTATTTGCATATGCTCCTAAATTTAGGCCCCAAATGATGAAGGTAATAAAAACTGCTTACATCTTCTTGCGTTGCTTGTCCAGGAAACAAAACCACCAGCCACACACAGCAAAACAGCTCCCCTCTCCTTTATTTCACTTAACCCCCTTTTTAAACTGCCCCACGCAGAGATTGGGAATCGCTGACGGGTGGGGGCTGCAAGCTCGATTCAGTGTAAATACACCCCAGCAGCTCGGGAAACCATTAACTCGGAGGAATCTGGGGACTGTCACTGTGGGCGATTGTCTATTAATAGGGGATAAAACACTGCATACATTAGCGCTAATGCCCTGGTGGCCCCTGCAAAATTAACTCCTCCTAGGCCAGCAAGAGGAAACCAGGTTTTGTCCAGGCAGATGTGTGCTTGAAACGCGCGTGTATATATATGCACCTAGGGATTTCGAACCGCTCCCCTTAAACATGCCAGATCCCCCTCCCATTCCAAGTCTTGGCGGTTGGGTTCCTCCCAGAAGGGGTGTCCCGGGTGGGAATGGTGGTGGCGGGATCCGTCAGGTGTCGGTCAGCTCAGCTTCGCCACGCAGACGGCCAGGGCCACAGCTGCCAGCAGCACGGCGCTGAAAACGGTGGCGGCCAGAGCCTTGCTCAGGTCACAGGGCCGCGCACGCTCCTCCGTGGACACGCCGCGCGCCGAGGAGGCGCCGGCGCTGCCACTGGACATGAGTTCGGCTCCTGCAACCTGCCGGGCTTGCACAGTCCAGCGGGGCACGTTGACCTTCATCTCCATGTCGTGAATCATCTCCTCCACCTGAAGGATCTCCCGCTCTAGCTCGAGCTGGTCGTTCACGTCGAAATCGCTGTCCGCTTCGTGCTGCAGGCTGCGGGCGCTCAGAGCGCGCGCTGCTATGCCCGTCCCGCAGCCTGCCACCCCGGTGCGCACGAGCGTCCTCCGCGGCGCATGCAGCTGGAAAGCGGCGCCCAGCGCCAGCGCGCGCCGCATGTCGGCTTCCAGCAGATCCAGGCAGCTGGAGAAGGCCACCCAGAGGCGCTCGAACTCGGCGCGCTCTTCGGCGCCCAGGCCCCGATCGCGCAGGGCGGCAGTCAGCGGGGCGCGGATGGCCTCTGCCAGCTCCTGAGCCTTCTGGCGCGTCTTCTGCAGCTCCTCACGCAGGTTCTGCGAGTCCGCCGAGCCGCCGACGGTCAGCACCAGGTGGTGGTAGCATGCGGTCGCCTTGTTGAGCGCGTCCAGCAGCGCCTTGCACTCTTCTCGCGCCATGGCTGTGCGCTCTGACCGCCAGCGCCCCTTTCGGCCTCACGCCTTCAGCGCGGCAGGACGCCACCAGCCCCGACTGCGGCCTTGGGACAGCGGCCCGCGCGCTCTTCATGGCCCCAGACACACTTTATGCTGACGCTACTGTCGACAGAGGCTCTCAGGACCCGCGACTAGCGCCTCCGCGCACCTGCCGCTGAGAAGGAGCCTCCGGTAGCTGTCTCCGGTCCTCTCGTCCATCCTCCCCAAATGCACCCCGGGTCACAGGCCGAGTCTCTGCCCGGCCCTCGCCTTCACGGTGGCCCCCTGAGAAGCCCAAATCACCAGCAGATGCCCCATCATTCTCCCGTGCCGTCGCCAGGGTTGGCCAGCTACCACGCCCCATGCTCTGCCTTAGCATGCTGTCTAGGGCGACCAGGTTCGGTTGTTAGGATCCGCCCACTCCTTTCTGTCCTCTCCGGGCGCTTCCATCCCGTGGACCACGGATAGGCGGGGCCCCACGCGGGGCTATCACGTGTAGGTCCCCCATTTCCTCCTCCTCTGCACCCCATTACAGTTCTGGAATATGATCGCTTGGCAGATTCAACTCTCCTCTGTTTCACAGATGGGAAACTGAAGCCCTGGTTTAAAAAAAAGGTGGGTGGAGTTCCGGAGGCTCGGAATGGGCATGCGACGCCCATTCAAGAGAGAGGAGTAGAACCAGGGACCCTGGTTCCCAGACTCTGTCAACGACGGGAGTGTTGTGCCTCTTGACTGGTAACCTCCTTTCTGCAAAGCTACCAGTAAAGGGCCATCCGCGGGGCGAGACCCCTGGCCTCCGCATGCCAGTCCAGCCCGCTTTCCGGCTACCAAGCTTGGACCCACCCCTAGTGTCAGATCAGCCCTCAGTCCCGCCCTCTTCTCGTTCCGGGCACGCGCAGTCCGCGGCTCTGGGCTAGTCCCTCCAGAGTAGGAAGCTCTGTGCGCCGCCCGAGCCCCACCCGGGCTGCATGGGCTCAATGATTGCTCTGCCTGCACGTCACTCTGGATAAGGACGGCTGCTCATTGGGCTGACAGGAGGCGTGGCTCCGCCCCACGGCGGTGTAGGGGTTGGCCAGAGAGCGGAGCAGCCGAGCTCGGGTGGTGGGCGCTGAAGTCCCCGCTAAGGGGCTGGGAGGTATCGCCGTCGCTCTGGGAAAGGGCAGGAAGTGAAACTATGTAGGCTTTAAGTAAGTGTCTTTTTTCCTGCCTCCTCCCCGACTCCCTACCCTCTGGACTGCTGCGCCCCGGGACCCAGGGGCCGGGCGGCGCCCCGGAGCGGGAAGGGGGAGGGGCTCCTTTCCCTCCGCTGCCGGCGCCCCAGGTTGGGCTTGCCTGTCCCGCAGGGTGGACCGCCCCTCCCGCGCGCTCCCAGTCCGGGATGCATCAGGGCTCTCCCTGCGTGTCGTGTGCGAAGGTTGAGGTGGCGAAAATGTGCCCTCTGATACCCGTGGCTCCTGGGCGGGCCAGCGGGTCCGGGGTCCAGTGAGCTCGGACTCGGGGGCAGTGGGCGGGGCTGTCGCTCGGGGGCTGAGGATCCTCTGGTTTTCTGGCGGCCTGGCCCCGCGGGTGGAAGGGAGGCTGTGGGTGGAGTTCCGGAGACTCGGGCCTTGCGGCCCCCGGTGGTGGAAAGGGGGAATCCCTTGCGTGCCTGCTTCTCGCGGGGCGGGGTCTCCTCGTCCTGCTGGTTAAGGATTACCCCAGGAAAACTCTTTAGCACCAAGAGATGTTCCGGACTCTGTGTTCACTTCTTTTTGTAGAACATGGACTGGCCATAACTGCCCGAGCCGATCTGTGCTTCTCTGGCCACCCCTTGAGGCCACCCCGGTAGGCTGACAGTGCTGGGCCACGGGAGCAGGTGGTGCCACTTCGTGGAAGATGTAGCACATTTAGGGAAGGAGGGGCCGGATGATGAGACTGAAGGGACTACTAGTTTTTAGTCGAGCTGGGATTTTCTTAAGTTTACGAGTTTCATGGAGAGGGGCCTCTATTTTGATTAAGTAATGCGCCGCTGCCACCCCAGCCCTAGAAAAAGGGCAGTGGATATTTGTGGAATACCCTTGAGGCCACCTCGCCTCGCGTGGCTGTGAGGCAGCACAGAAGGGCCAGAACGCTGGACCTCAGGGGCTTGCTTTCAGGGCTCTGTCCCTTAAACGGTAGATCTAGCGGCCGTTGGTGGCAAGGTCCTGGGCCCTCTGGGCCTTGGCCAATTTTCTGCGGTGGAAGGTCTCAGCTACCCACTGGCCAAAAGGCCTTGACGGGGCAAGAGTAGTTTTCAGGACAAAATGAATGGAAGGAGGGGGAACCCATCACTCCGGGGAAACAGGGGAGATGAGGCTGCAGAGGGGAAGGGGAGGCTGGAAGTGAGAGGTCCTTAATGACACTTCTTTTCTGGAAGTTGAGAGTTCATCTAGTAGGGAGTGGAGGAGAAGCTACCCACCTCCCCACCCCATCCCACCTCACCCACCCATCCTCAGGGTGTATATTCCCAAATCACCAGCAGATGCCTGAAACTGCAGATCCTATATATACTATGTGTTTTTCCTAGGCATATGTACCTATGACAAAGTTTAATTTATAATTTAGACACAGAAAGGATTAATAACAATGACTAATAATAAAATAGAATAATTATAATTACTGTAATGAAAGTTATGTGAATGTGGCTCTCAGAATAACGTTTTGTAATATACTCACCCTTCTTGTGGTGATGTGCGAAGATAAAATGCCTACATGATGAGATGAAGTGAGGTGAATGACTAGGCATTGTGAGTAGCATTAGGCACTATTGACCTGGTGATATGTCAGAAGGAGGACCTTCTGCTTCTGTCTTGCCATTTCAGTTACCCAAGGAGAGTGAAAATGTAGGTAAGCTCAAGCTTCCTTCAACACCTCACTATCATTTTGTTCAAGTGGATGAATAAAATGAGGGCTGCTGTACTGTGCAGACCTCAGTGTTGAAAAGATCACTTTATTGTCTTGGGTGGGCAGTTTTGAGTGTGACCAGGCAGAACCTGTAGGTCACCAAGGGGGAGGTGCAGAATGGGAGCAGGAAGATACTTCGGATTAGCCCCAGTGGCAGGAAAGCATTTGGAGCTCTTAAATTGGGAGGACAGTTTGGCTGAGCTCTGCCCACCTTGACTTGTCACCTGAAATAATCCTGCCTGGCAGCATTGCTGGTAGAACAAGCAGTAGTGCCTGCACAGGGCCTGGTGCCAAGGTGTTGGCTGTGCTTCCTTGTGGCTCTTAGACGGTATTGTCCTTAGAGCGGCAGCTGCTGGGTCTTTCGTATTGACATGTCTGTGTGTTGTTAGTGTTTCTGTCGGGGCTGTCCCTCTGTTTAATGAATTGCCAGGATTAGGTTGGTGTCCAGTAGCTTCATCCTCTTCTAGAGGAGCAGGGGAATGTGACCATGTGATGATAGCTACCAGACCTAGAAAGGACTGAGACCTGAGGAATCTGGACCTGATTTGTCCTGAGGTTGCTTCCACATCTCCCAGCCCCTGAGGTGTGGCCCTTGGAACCCCTGCCCTTCTGTCCAAGATGTGGTCAGGGAGGTGGGTGCTGGTGGCGCCACCTGCAGCTACTTGATGGGTTCCTCTGAACTTTCCTGCTCAGTTGGTGGGAACACCCCTCTTCCAGGCCTTTTTAGCCAGCAATGAGTGCACAGAGCTTTGTTTGTTTTTGTTTCTGGCTTTTTTCTAGTGCCTGTGTGGCTGCCTGGGGCCAGCCTCAAGCCCTTTCCTGGATACGGGCAGTGGATTTCCAGGTCATGTGAGAGATGTTCCTCTCTGGGGGCTCAAGCTTCCTTCAACACCTCACTATCATTTTGTTCAAGTGGATGAATAATTAGAATGTGCCTAAAGTGAGCCAGGTGGCCAGGTGCAGGCTGGGTGATTTGAAGAGGATCTTTGAGAAAAAAAAGGGTAGGATTCATGGACATTATGGGCCAGGACCCAAGTGACTGTAATACCATTCCTTACATTATCAAATTGCTTCCATTTGGTATTAAACATAGGTAAGTAGAAAATTTTCCCTTTCTGTCTTTTTCTTCTGAATCACAAATCCAACCAGCTGGAGAATATTACTTATCAGTTGGAGAAGATGCCCTGTCAGGGTCTTTGGCCAGGGCCCTGGAAGGATAGGAACAGCCACAGCAGTGGGATTTCAGCAGGTAGTACATCTCTGTGAGGCACAGACCTTTCTGTGCTGGATTCTCCTGAGCCAGGCTGCATGCTGTCACCAGTTGGTCCCTGATCACCCAGACTCATCTCGGTTGGCAGTATAGTTGAAAGACCACGAGTATGCACATTACCTCCTGAATGTCCAGTATTGGTTTGAGGCCTCACCTGGCTCCCCTGTTCATAGAGTAAGCTCAGAAATCATGGTCAGGGATATTTCTGGTATCTTTGACTAACTTCACTAGCTTTCCTATAAATCATCCCATCATCTGAGCTTAGGTAGGGGTAGAGTTTTTTAAAATAAGTTTTGTAAGAGCATTCACTCATCTTTCCAACTTTACAAGGGAAAGTCAGTTTACTTTGCATGTTATTTTAAAATATAAAACTAATTCTTGCTAGTAAACTTGTCATGGTGTTAAATTATCTTTAAGTATTTACCCCTATATAAGAATTAAACTCTGGCATTAAACACTAGATTGTATGTGATTATTACACATTCTTAACAATGGAACAGAAAAGTTGAGAACAGTGCTGGACAGAGCCCTTTGAATCCCTGCTTCTGGACAGAGGGTTCAGTTAGTGGCAACTGGGAGGACTGATTTTCAAGAGAAAGCTGATGACTTGGAACTGAAACAGCGAAATCTGCTCCGTTCACCAGCAGTGCTTGCCAAGAGTCTTGTGTGTTTACACAGTTCATGCATTTCAACTGAGTTTTGATGTGGCATTCAGGGGCCTTACCTTACTGCCCCTTTCTGACCCACTCTTACCATTACTATTATTTTTATTATATATATATGTATATATATATATATATATAATTTTATTATTATCATTAGTCTTATTACTTCCCTGGACTCAGCTTCTCCTGTAGTCAAAATAAGTTCACTCTGGATTTTCTGTTCCTACAGGAACCTGTTTGTGCCTCCTAAACCTTTGACCCTGCTCTAGTGCCTGTCAGAGATGCTTCCCCACTCCCCTCCCCACTGCTCTCCCCTGCTGCTCCCTCCTCTGGTCCTTACCTGTCCTGAGCAGCCAGGTTGTTAGTTCCATTGTCAAAGCCCACTCTTGTCACCTCCATCTTGGGTATAGAGGTGCTCATGCTCTGCCAGCATCTTGTCTGAAGAACAGAGGAAGTGTTCCTTCTCAGCTTTAGTATGACCGTATCACATCCTGTTACTCATGTGGTGTTTGTCCGAGGCATCTTTTACATTCTGCCTTGTAGAATTAACTGTGTCAGGAACCAGGGATAATTTTGTTTTCTTGTGACTGTCCCAGCAAAATCACATTATCCAGTTGTTCGGGTAGGGACTCATAAAAGGATTATTTGGGTTCTAATAATAATTGAAATCAATGATTTGAATACCTGAATTGTTGCAGAGCTGTGCCTGGCTTCAGGAAGGGATTATATGTAGCCATTTTCATGCCAAGCTCTTCTGCCCAAGAGGATTTGCCGGGAGCTTAGGGGCCTCTCTGGTTGAACCAGACTGGGGAATTTGATGTGGGGCTTATGTGGCTGTCTGTTATGGGCACTTTTCCTTTGTGGGAAATGAAGTATGGAATCTACGCATCTGTGGCTCATGAAATAACCAACCCTCAACGAAGGCATGTTTTTTTTACATGATGGGT